TACTGGACGGATACAACTGCCCCACGGGGCTTCCAAGGCTGTAATCTATATGGACACAGACTGTCTCATCTTTCTCCCACAGAGCAACTGGTGGGTTTGAACGCTGACCTTTCAGTTAGCAGTCAAATGCTCTGACCACTACACCACCAGAGCTCCTTGCTATGAGTCAGTATTGAGTCAAGGACAAGGGGGTTTTCCTCAGTAGGTACAGAGAAAATCCAAACAAAACTCCTAGTGAGTCTAGCATAAAGTCCAGCAGGCCGGCACTCAGCCTGCAGCCAGCCTGGTGTTACAAAGGAAACAAAACCCAAAAGCAGTCAGCCCCTTCCTGAAGTCACTCGGAACGCAACACCTGGGCATTCTGCTCCCGTGCACCCAGAGACCTCGCGGAGCACTTGCTTCCCTCTGTCCATGACACCGCAGTAGAGGGCACTAAGCTCTCCCTTCCCTGGTCCCAAACCGCAACCCTCAGACCCACGTCTGGGACACACAACCCCCGTCAGGTTCCGGCCTCTCCTCCTCGCCCAGCACCTTTTAGTCGCTTACCTCTTAACCCCACACAGAGCCAGGGCTCGTCCAGTTAGGGTCGCCCTTGTTGTGTTAGTTACCGAGGCGTCCACTGACTCGCGGGGACGCTGTGTGTGCAGAGTCCACGCTGACCTGCGGTGACCCTGTGCGCGTGGGATGCTCCACGGGGTTTTCAAGGTGGGACATTTCAGCAGCAGAGCTCCAGGGCTGTTCTCCACGGTGCCTCAGATGGGTCTGAACCCCCCACCTCTCGGCTAATGGTCGAGCACAGTTTGTGTCACCTGGGGACTTGTATTTCGCCCTTCACTGCAATGAATGCCACCCAAGGCCCCGGGCTGGCCAGCTGGCCTAGCAGCATTCACCTCTCTCAGGCACAGACAAGCCTCTGAGGCGCTGGGTGCGTTAGACTTTAGCTCTGAATCGGCCTCAGGGAAAGCTACACAGAGAGCCAGACTGGTGGTAACAACAGCCGCCATCCCAAGCACCTCCCAGGGATGAACTCATTCAACTGCCACCACATTCCATGACAGCTGGGCACCATGACATCGATACTGACCCACAGTGACCCCATGTGCCCCAGAGGGTCTCCTGGTCTGTGATCTCCTCTCACGGAGCTGCTGGTGGGTTGGAACCTCTGACTTTTCAGTTAGCTGCTGAGTGCTTAATCACTGCACCACCAGGGCTCCTCTAGGTAAAAGCAGGATACCCAGTTTAGAGACACAAGCCCTTGAGTGTCCTGACCAAGGTCACACAGCGGGTTGGTAGTGGCACCCCACTCCTCCTCCCATCAGCTGCATGACCTTGGGGAGGACACTTGACCTCACTTAGCCTCTGCTGCCTCACCTGCCTATGGGCCTCCCAGTGCCCACTCACTAAGCTGTGAGGGAGGAGCCCGAGGCGGGTTAGAAAGAGACACACCCCCTGGGCGGGCGCAGCCACCCAGGCCCCAGGTCCACGAGGGCCATGTGGATACAGAGCAGAACGCCTCCTCGGCCTCGCTGGCTGAGCCCGGGCTGGGGCGGCCCACTCCCCTCACGACTAGCACCTCATCACAACACTGCCAGACACAGTAGCTGTCCTCTACTTGTCCCCGACATAATGGGGACTTTTAGAAGCTGGAGAAAAGGTGAACAATCACCACTGTGAACAACCTGTTTTCCTAACATCCAATATGGACAATTCTCAAATCAACAAAAATATCAAAACCACCCTGTGGTAGTTAAGGTGATGAGTCAACGTGGCTGGGCCTGGTTGAGTGGCTGGGCAGCTGGTGGTAGTTATTCCCCATGATGAGACTGGCAATCATCTCCATGGTGGGATCTACCACAAGCAGCTGAGTAGCTGCCTTTGGGATGTGGTCTGCTTCCTGTTTATAAGGAGAAGCCTTGGGAAGCCTACGGCACGCTTGAACCCTGCATGTAGCTGTGTGGTTGTTCAGCAGCCTGCCATGCTCTGCTGACCTTAGGACTTTCAATGGACTTGAATCAATGGTCTGCTGCGTGGTGTGGCAACAGCGGGACTGTGCCTTTTACTGTGCCTTTTACTTATTGACCTTGGGTTTGTCACCCACAGCAGCCAGCAGCTGAATGAAGAAAAGCCTCCAGCCTCAGTGGGCCGGGAGCAGGAGACAAAGCTGAACCCCCAGGTTGAGGGGCTTTCATACAGCCCATAGAGCCTGGCACTTTGAACTCAGATTTCTAGCCTCCAAATTGTAAGAATAAACTCCTGTTTGTTAAAGCCATCCCATTTGTGGTAAATTCTTGTCAGAGCAGCACTGTTGTTGTTGTTGTTGTTATGTGCCATCGAGTCGGACCCAACTTATAGCAACCCCTCCTTGGGTTTCCGAGGCCATATCACTACAGAAGTAGATTGCTCAACCTTCCTTCCAACGAGTGGCTGGTGGGTTTGAACCACCAGCCTTCTGGTTAGCACTCAAGTGCCTTAAGCACTATGCTACCAGAGCTCCCTAGGTAACTGAACACACCCCAACTAGGTACGAGCCTAAACAGTTAACAAAAATCACACAGGGGACAAGCTGGTGGTGGGACAGATGGCATCCAATTAACTCTTAGCACTAGGCAAACTGGAACCCAAAGTCTATGCAGGTCACCAGGGGGCAAGCAGGAGTAGGCAGGGGGACACGTGGCTTGGGGACCCTGAGGGTGTGCTAAGGGTGACAGGCGATCTGGAAACAGGTATTGATGACAGGTGCACAATTTGGAGAATGCAACTGATGTCACTCAACTGTACAAGGAAATGTGAAAATCATTGAAATGGCAACTTTCTGTGATATATACACTCACCATGACAGAGAAGAAATGAGAGAGACAGAGAAAAATAAGCACCTCAAACACCTCATAACTGACTAATAAGCAATGTCATGATAAACAACATTTGAAGTTGTCAGGGATTTCGTTTTACTTGGATACGCAATCAGTGCCCATGGAAGGAGCAGTCAAGAAATGAGAAGACGTACTGCAATGGGCAGATCTGCTGCAAAAGACCTCTTCAAAGTGTTAAAGAACAAAGGTGTCACTTTGAAGACTGGGGTGCCCCTTACCGAGCCGTGATATTTTCAATCGCCTCCTACATGTACATTAGCTGGATCAGTAAGGAAGACCCAAGAAGAACTGCTGCCTTTGAATCATGGTGTTGGCCAAGAATCCTGAACACTCCACGGCCTGCCAGAGCAATGAACTAAGCTGCATGGTGTTGGCCAAGAGTCCTGAACAGTCCACGGCCTGCCAGAGCAATGAACTAAGCTGTCTTGGAAGAAGCACAGTGGAACGCGCTTCAGAAGTGAGGACGGCAGGGCTTGGTCCCTCATCCTTTGGTCACGTCATCAGGAGGGGGCAATCCTGGAGAAGGGCATCACGCCGGGAAAGCAGCGGGTCAGGGAAAACGGGCAGGACCCTCAGCAAGACGGACGGACACAGCGGCCGCGATGACGGGCCCCAGCACAGCAGTGACTGTGGGGATGACGCAGGAGTGGACAGGGTCTCGCTCTGTGATGCACGGGTCACTGTGGGTCAGGGCCAGCACCTAACAGCCACCACCACCCGTGACACAGCTGGGGCACAGCAGCATGTCTATTTCCTTCCTCCAATCAGACTTTGCCTGATGTGGGGCATTCTACAGTGTGCACCTGTTTGATGGGTCACTTTGTCTTCGTTCTGAACAAGCACACAGTAGGGAGCCCTGGTGGTGCGATGGTGAAGCACTCAGCTGGTAACTGAGAGGCTGGCAGTGTGAGCCCACCCCTTGGCTCTAGGAGGAGAAGACGCGGTGTTCTGCTTCCATAAAGATTATAGCCTAGGGACCCCATGGGGAAGTTCTACTGTCACACGGGCCACATGAGTCAGGACTGACTGACACACAGTCGGCCAGACAGCACCCAACAACAATATGCACCACTGCAGCAAAGAAGAATTTATCAGCAAATACACACCTACGTGTATACAAATAACGAGTATATGTATTTTTACATAACCTTTTGTTGTGTTTTTGGAGCAGGTTTACAGAGCATTTCGGTCCCCAGTCAACAGTTTTCCACCCAAGCTGCTCAATGACCTTGGGTACAGTCTTCACAGCGTGTGGGATCCTCGTTAGTTCTGCTCTGCTGGTCCTGCTTCCAAGTATATTTACTCTTGTTTATTCTTGGTAGATTCCTTACTCGGAAGGAAGGTTGGGCAATCCTACTTCCGTAGTGATACTGCCTCGGAAACCCGAGGAGGGGTCGCTATGAGTCAGGGCTGACTCAACGGCACATAACAACAACAACAACAACAGATCCCTTACTTAGGTGAATTTCATAAAACATCTCAAAAGTGTCTTGTGGGTGATTCCCAAAAAAATCAAACTCACTGCCATTGCGTCAATTCCAACTGATAGTGACCCCCGCTGGGTTTCCAAGGTTGTAAATTCTTATGGAAGCAGATTGCCTCATCTTTCTTCTACGGAGCAGCTGGTGGGTTCGAACCACCAACTTTTAGTTAGCAGCCCAATGCTTTACCCACTCCACCACGAGAGCTACTTTTTGTGGGTGACAAACCCTGTCAATGAGCTCAGGGGGTCTCTCACTAATGAAGACTCAGGAGGCAGGTGCCACTGTGTCTTGTTACTGAAAGTGCTCAAGTGCTGGGCAGGATTTCATTTCTGACACCTCAACACCAGTCACGGTGCCTGCAGGACTGACTGAATTAAAACACATTTTAGCTTTGGCACCAACCAAACCAAACCCGCCACCATCAAGTCGGGCCCAACTCATGGCAACCCCACGTACGTGCAGAGCTGAACTGCCCCCAGGGTTTCCTTGGCCGCAGTCCTCAGAGAAGCAGACTGCCAGGCTTTGCTTCCACGGTGCTGCTGGGTGGACATGCACCACCAAGCTCACCACCAAGCTCTAGGTTAGTGGTCAAGTACAAACCGGTGACGCCGCCCCGAGACTGCTTGGGCAGCGGACCCCCACCTACCTTTGTGGAAGTCTCTGGGATCCAGCGACAGGCTGTAGCCAGGCAGTGTCTCCAGGAGGAGTTGGTAGCAGGCCCGCCAGCCCGGTTCGGCGATGCTGGGGGCCACGCACTGCATGGCGGCCACGCGTTTGAAGAAGGCCGACTTGCGGTGGAAGCCGATCAGCTCGTAGAGCTCGGAGAGGATGCTGTATCGCTGGATCTTCTCTTCCTCAGAGAGCTGGGGAACAGAGACAGTCAGGAGCCTCAAAGGATACTCACAGGAAAAAGGAGAGACAGTTGTGTAAAGTTTTCCTTTTCCTTGAAACAAAAGCAAAGTGAAGACATGATGAGGAAACCTCATGGGGGGAAGCCCAGCCCCCAGGCTGCGGTCCCTGCCCCAGTGCCGGGCAGCATTGGGCTGCACACCTGTGACGAGCCCGTCGCCCAGGCCCATGCTGGCCTTTTGCTAATAAGGCCAGGTTTCCTGGAATGAAAGTATCCACTACCCAGCATAAAAAAGATCTATTTTAAGTTCCTTTACCAAAGAAAATAAAAGGAACCTTGGTTCATCTGGGCACTATCTAGGACCATGGCCGAGCCTCCCATCAAATGCACAGTAACATAAGAACAGGACAGTAGCTAATGAATTGTTCATCATCACCACACCTAGCTTGGACTCGAGACGTCACAGTTTACAGAGTTTTCCTCATTCACGTTCTACGTCCTCCCGGCCACAGAGTGATGCAGAGATAACAACTCCTGTTTCCGCAGTGCCAACCAGATGCCACAAATGGACATACCTTATTTGGTCATCATATCAGTCGCACGAGCTTTTATGCCCCCAGCTGGTGGAGCAGGGAATCTGAAGGTCAAAGAACCATTAACCACGAGCAGAGACGTGTCCCGCCCAGAGCCACCAGGGACGAGGCCCCACTCTGCACCCCAGGCTGTGTCTGTGGCTCTCGGTACACAGGAGGAGCAGAATCCTGCCATGGTGCAAGGGGACTCTGCCACCCCGAACAGTAAAGTTGTCAGCTGAGAGTTCCGTGAGCACAGAACCACAGCAGGGATGCCCTGGGGACTGTGCTCCTCCCCCCTCCCCCCCAGCCCCTCATCTACACGCCCACCACCACCGCCATCACCTGGCCCCACTGGAGAAAACTCACCTGGGTGGTCTTCCCACCACCTCTCCCAGGCTCCCCTACTCTGTCCACACACAGCTGCCCGCCGGCACCCCTGCAGCACGGCACAGAACCTATCACCCCCGCTGAGAGCCCTAGGTCTCCAATCCCCACACTGAGGCCAGCTCCTTCCACAGCACACAGGGCCCCCCTGGGCAGCCAGCCCCAGCCTGCCCTCCTAACCTGGGTCCCACTGACCACCAATGCTCTTGACACACTACACAACGTGGATTCACTCCCTCCTTTCCTCATCTCATCAACACACATGTACCCAACACCTGCTCCGTGCTGGCCACCACTCCAGTTACGAGGGACACAGCCCCAGCAAGACGGCAGAGCCAGCCCTCGGGGAGTACACATGCCAGTGGCAGGCTAGTTCCTGCCCTCTAAGCCCTCAATTAGAATCAGCCAATAAGTGATCAAAGAAGTAAAATAATAAATACGAATGCAATTAAATGCACTAAGAAGGCTCTCATGCTTGGTAAAGTGGAGGGTCAGAACAAAGGGGAAGACCCCCAGCAAGACGGACTGACACAGGGCCGCAACGATGGGCCCAAGCTCAGCCAGGACTGTGAGGGTGGTGCCGCTCAGGGCAGTGTTCCGTTCTGTTTCCCAGAGTCGCTGAGAGCAGGGGTCAACTCGACAGCAGCTCACAACAACAAAACAGAAGAAGAAGGGAAGGACTCCTGAGAGGGACTAAAAAGATGAGTGCTCTGGGGACAAGTGTTCTGGACGGAGGAAACGAAAACGAGCCCAGGCCCCGTGGCCTCCTGCCAGCAATCTGTGCACTGTGCCCTCTGCCTGAAGGCGCCGCCCTTCTCCCAGTTCCACGCCCACCTCCTCCTCCCAGGAGCCCGCTCCAGCGCCACCTTCTCCCCGAGGCTCCTCTGACGCCCTCCCGCTGCGTGCTGCCTCTTCTTGCTCTGAACCCTCCCAGCGGTTCTGGACACTGAATGTCATCTTTCTCCTCCGTCATCCATGTGGACGCTCCATGCCCCTCACCAGGGCCGCAGGCTCCCCAAGAGCAGGACCGACAGAAAGACTGTTCCACGGCCGACCGTGCACTCAGCCCTGTTCTTATGGCTTACCGATATTAACGCAGTCAGTTCTCACAAAACCCTATGAGGGGTCTCACTATCCCCATTTTATAGATGAAGTGGAGGAAGGTTCAGAACCTCTCCCTGGTCACACACCAAAAAGAGGCAAAGCAGCTTCAAGCTTTGAGTGTCTCTCACAGACAGACAGACACGTTTAACATCTAACATGGAGCTAAGGGCTCTGCTAAGTTGAAAAGAATGCACCATGAACACTCAATGCGCACCACCTAGCCTGATGCCCACCACCTAGACTGACGCCCACCACCTAGATTGATGCCCACCACCTAGATTGATGCCCTCCACCTAGACTGACACCCATGACCAAGCCTGATGCCCACCACCTGGACTGACACCCACCATCTGAATTGACACCTACCACCTGGGCTGACGCCCACCACCTAGCCTGATGCCCATGACCTAACCTGATGCCCATGACCTAGACTGATGTCCACCACCTGGACTGACACCCACCACTGGGCTGACGCCCACCCCCTAGCCTGATGCCCTCCACCTAGACTGATGCCCACCACCTGGACTGATGCCCACCACCTAGACTGACGCCCACCCCTTGGACTGACGCCCACCACCTGGACTGACGCCCACACCTGGACTGACACCCTCCACCTGGACTGACGCCCACCACCTGGACTGACGCCCTCCACCTGGACTGACGCCC